CATCCAGTCCAACCCCCTTCTGCCAGGCTTATAGGCACCATTCGATCCCTCCTGACAGATAGCCATCTGGTCTCTGCTTGAAAATTTCAGAGCTGGGATATTGTATTGTCGAAGGCTTTCGTGGCCGGAATCACTAGGTTGTTGTAGGGTTTTTTGGGCTATATGGCCAAGTTCTGGAGGCATTCTCTCTTGACATTTCACCTGCATCTATGGCAAGCATCCTCAGGATGCTTGCCATAGATGCAGGCGAAACGTCAGGAGAGAATGCCTCTAGAACATGGCCATATAGCCTGAAAAAACCTACAACAACCCAGTTGGGATATTACTAATAAGATTATTATTATGTTTATTGATACCTCGCTTTTTCTTTCCACAAGGAGACTCAAAGCAGATACCCAAAGGTCCTCCAGCCCAACCCCTTTCTACCAGGCAGGAAGACACAGTCAAAGCTCTCCCAACAGATGGCCATCTGACCTCTGCTTTAAAACATCTAAAGGAGACCCCATCATTATCATCCCCACTCAAGGTGATCATAATGATGATGGAATCCTAGAAACTGGAAGGGACCCCAAAGGGCCACCCAGTCCAACCTCTTCCTGCCAGGCAGGAAGACACCATCCGATCCCTCCCAACAGGCCACCATCCTGCCATAGATATTTATCGTGTCAGTATCAACCAGACAATTGTTGATATGATTGAGAGAGATAGATATAGATATGATTGAGAGAGATGACTAAGATAAGGTGAAAAGGCCTGGCCAAAGCAGAAGAGAGTAAGTAACTTCCAGAAACTACCCTTCTATTGACGCAACCTAGAATTGCATTGTCCTTTTAAGCTGTTGCATCACGCTGTTGACTCATGTTCCATTTGCGGGTCTATTAAGACTCTAAGATCCCTTTCCCTGGGATTGTTTTCAAGTCAGGCATCACTCATCTGACTTCCATCTTAACACTAGCCTCCTCTGGATTGCAGCCTAGGATCACAATGGCCTTTTTTGCTGCTGCATCACACTCTTGGCTTGAGAAGATAGTGATTTGCTTGCTCTTATCCCTTCCTTCCTTCCTCTTGGCAGGTGCTGGGCCGGCTGCTGCCTGGTTCCCTTCTGTGTGGACGCCTTTCTGGACGTGGATCACTTCTGCCCCAACTGCCAGGCCGTCCTGGGATGCTATAAGCGCCTCTGAGGCCCCTTCCCTTGCACGTCCGTTTCTACCGCAGCCGCCTGCCTTGATTGCGCTCCAGAAGACTAGACTCTGGGGGAAATCCATAATCAATAACCCCAGCCTCTTGTTTCCAATAAAGACGGGACTGAGTCACACGCCGTGCCTTCCTTTTGGGTCTCTCCTTGGGGATTTTTTTGCAAGGCCTTTTTTTGCACAGATTGGCTCCCATTCTCTCTTTCCCCAAAGAGCCTGGATAAAATGCACATTTTTAAAATGTTTTTTCTAAGACATCCAGACCAACAAAACACACCACAGACTTCAATAAAGAGGAATTCATCAGGAGACTGAAGTCGGAAAAAGGAAAGGAAAAGCAATGGTCTTCCTATCGGGAATCTATCATAGATCTCTATAAACAATTTCAGATTTTTTTCCCCATACTTTCCTCCCTTATGTTCCTCCTTTCCCCTCTTCCTTGTGCCTCCTTTCCTCCCATCCTTTTCCTTCCCTCCCTTCCCCTCTTCCTTTACTCCTCCTTTCCTCCCATCTTTCTTCCCTCCTTTCCTCTTCCTTTAGTCCCCCTTTCCCCTCTTCCTTTATTCCTCCTTTCTCTCTTCCTTTATTCCTTCTTTCCTTCCTTTATTCCTCCTTTTGTCCCATGCTCCTCCCTCCTTTCTTTTTCCTTTAGTCCTCCTTTCTTCCCCTCTTCCTTTATTGCTCCTTTCCTCCCATCCTTTTTTGCTCCTTTCTCTCTTCCTTTATTCCTTATTTCCTTCCTTCCTTCCTTTAGTCTTCCTTTCCTCCTATCCTTTCTTCCCCTCTTCTTTTATTCCTCTATTCCTCCCATCCTTCTTTGCTCCTTTCTCTCTTCTATTATTCCTTCTTTCCTCTGCTCTTCCTTTATTCCTCCTTTCCTCCCATCYTTCCTCCCTCCTTTCACTCTTCCTTTAGTCCTTCTTTCCTCCTTTATTCCTCCTTTCTTCTCATCCTTTCTTCCCCTCTTCCTTTATTCCTCCCTTCCTCCCATCCTTCTTTCCTCCTTTCTCTCTTCCTTTATTCCTTCTTTCTTCTGCTTCCTTTATTTCTTCTTTCATCCCTTCTTTTATTCTTCCTTTCCTCCCATCGTTCCTCCCTCCTTTCTCTCTCCCTTTAGTCCTTCTTTTCCTCCCTTTATTCCTCCTTTGCTCTCTTCCTTTAGTCTTCCTTTTCCCTTGTCCTTTTCTCCCCTCTTCCTTTATTCCTCCTTTCCTCCCATTGTTCTTCCCTRCTTTCTCTCTCCCTTTAGTCCTTCTTTTCCCTTATCCTTTCCTTCTCTCTTCCTTTATTCCTCCTTTCCTCCCATCCTTTCCTCCTTTCTCCCTTTKTCCCTTCTTTGCTCTTTTCCTTTCTTCCTCTTTCCCTCCCGTTTTGTTCTCCTCCTTTTCTCACTTCCTTCCCCTCTTCCTCGTTCTCTCTTTCCGCCCTTCCTTCTTTCCTCATATAATTAATAAAACCACCATTCCATCCCAAGCTCGAAGAATGAGGATGATTTCTTCAAAGGGGGAAAGAAATAATAATTTTTACTGAACGCTTGCTCTGTGAATCATTGTTTACAAAATATTTTTAAACTTTTTGAGAATCTTTCTGTACAACAAAATAAAATATAAATAAATAACTTTTATTCTAAAGAGAAGACACAAGTCCTAAAGGTTTGTTGTTTGTTTTAAAAAATGTCCCAAGTCCACCGTTCCGGCCTTACTTTCGATCCGCTGCTGACTTTCCTCCGGAGAGAAAAGCCAAAGGAGATGCAAATCCTCTCCCAAAACAGAACCAGGAAAGAATCAGGCAAACCAAAAAAATATATGGGAAATGAATGAATGACCTTTTGGGGACAAGAAAAGCCCGGAGTTGCTGGCTGGCATCTTTGGCCTCGGAGATAAAGCTAGTTAAAGGCATTTGGATGAAACAAGTATCCCAGCTGCATCTTCGGCTCTATCTGTTTTGGGCAAAGGCAAGCCTTTTCTTCTTTGGGATCAATTCCTTCTTCCTTCAAAAGGCCCGGAGATGGAAACTCTTAAGGCTTTTTCCCCCATTGGGATGTTTTGTCCTTTTCGGTGCAAAATGCAGTTTGGTCTTGCAGCTTGACCAACGAGACGGAAGTGAAACTGTCCAGGCTTTGGCCGCAGGAGGAAAGAAAGCAACGCGGCACTGACCTCATGGCAAAGCAGGCCTCGAGAGGAAGGAAGGGAGGCTTCTGGGTCAGGCGGCCCTTTGGGGTCCTCCGAAAACAGATCTGTCCATCCATCCGGCCCTTGTCCCTTGCCCAGGGGAGGCAGTGGTCAGACCAGGCCGGCATCTTTGGCCATGTTGTAGAAGGGGCCCTTGGCCTGGAGGAGGGTCCCCGGGGCCCCACACTCCACAATCTCCCCCCTCTCCAGGACGATGACCCTGGGAAGAGAAGGCAAAGGTCAGCAGGGCATTCTGGCCAGAAGGGAGGAGGCATCTGCTTCAAATGAGGACAAGGGGGAATGACAGGAATATTATTAGTAATATTACATGTACTGTATAACATACACTTATTATATTATTATATTATACTATATTATTATACATACCAAAAGATGTATAATACATTACCAGTATATTATACCATTAGTGTTATATTATATATTGTACTATGTTTTTCCTACCCGGCCTGGAGCCATTAGAAGAGGCGGGTAATCAATAAAATATCTATACAATGTATTATTTATATGTATATACAATATGGGCCCCCTGGTGGTGCAGTGGGTTAAACCACTCAGCTGCTGAACTTGCTGACCAAAAGGTTTGTGGTTCAAATCCAGGGAGTGGGGTGAGCTACCGCTGTTAGCCCCAGCTTCTACAAACCTAGCAGTTTGAAACATACAAATGTGAATAGAGCAATAGGTACCACTTCAACAGGAAAGTAACAGTGCTCCATGCAATCATGCTGGCCACATGACCTTGGAGGTGTCTATGGACAACTCCAGCTCTTCGACTTAGAAATGGAGATGAGCATCACCCCCCAGAGTCAGACACGACAAATGTCAGGGGAAACCTTTACCTTGTTGTTGTTGTTGATGATGATGATGATAATAATAATAATAATGAATAATAATGTCCATAAGCTAATAATAATACTAAGTACATAACCTAGTAATAATAGTAATAATATTAGGGGCATAAGCTAATAATAGTTATAATCATAATACTGGGTCCATAAACTATTAATAATATAATCTACCTCTAGCTACTGGAAGTCCAGTACCTTCCCCAAATTTAGGGGAAGGCTTTACAGGCCTCATTTAAGACATAAAGCAGTGAATACTACTACTACTACTACTACTACTACTACTACTACTACTAATAATAATAATAATAATAATAATAATAATAAAAATTCAACTCTAGTAACTGGAAGTCTAGTAATTTCCCTAAGTCCCAGGCCTTCCCCTTGGAAGATGGTTTGAGTATCTTTTAAGAGAGAATAATGGTTTATTATATTATTATTGTTATACCAGCTCCAGGTACTAGCAGTAATTTCCCCAAATTTAGGTCTATTGATGAAGAGGCATTGACTTTACAGGCCTTCTCCTTGGTAGACTGTTTGGAGTCTCATTTAAGAGAGGAAAGCAGTAAATATTATTTATTTGTTTGTTTGTTTACTTACTGCTTTCCTCTCTTAAATGAGACTCCAAGCAGTCTACCAAGGAAAAGCCCTGTAAAGTCGATGCCTCTTCCTCAATAGACCTACATTTGGGGAAATTACTGTTAGTACCTGGAGCTGGTATAACAATAGTAATAAACCACTATTCTTTCTTAAAAGAGACTCAAAACCATCTTCTAAGAGGAAGGCCTGTGACTTAGGGAAATTACTAGACCTCCAGTTGCGAGAGTTGAATTATTATTATTATTATTATTATTATTATTATTAGTAGTAGTAGTAGTAGTAGTATTCACTGCTTTCATGTCTTAAATGAGGCCTGTAAAGCCTTCCCCTAAATTTGGGGAAAGTACTGGACTTCCAGTAGCTAGAGCTAGAGTATATTTTTAGTAGTTTATGGACCCAGTATTATGATCATAACTATTATTATAACTATTTATGCTGCTAATATTATTATTATTATTATTACTAGGTTATGTACTTACTATTAGTATTATTATTAGCTTATGGACATTATTATTTATTATTATTATTATTATTATTATTATTATTATTATTATTATGACATGAAACAATCTGGGCCACCTAAGACCTCCCAACAATTCCCCCAGGCAGGAAGCAGCCAAGCTTTGAAACTGCAAAGACATTCAATGCTAATCAAGGTGGCCAATTGCAACATTCGGACTTGCTTCCCACCCCGGGCATTCTACATATATATAAACCCCATTTGCCTAGTTTCCAACAGACCTCACAACCTCTGAGGATGCCTGCCATAGATTCTGGTCTATATGTGATTCTTCCTACCGTGTGTAGTCCATGATGGTGTTGAGCCGGTGGGCGATGGTGAGGACGGTGCATCCCTCGAACTGCTTCCGGATGGTGGTCTGGATCAGGCAGTCCGTCTCCAGGTCCACGGCGGCCGTGGCTTCATCCAGCACCAGGATCTTGGACCTGCGCAGCAGTGCACGCGAGAGGCACACCAGCTGCCGCTGACCCACGCTGGTCAAAACAAAGGGGGAAAGACCATTATCGTACTGGTTGCAGTGAGCTGGGCCTTGCAGTTATGTTCTATGGAAGCTGGACTAGAAAGAACAGAGGTTGGTTTCTTCACCTTGGCAGGTCTTTAAGCCAAGGATGGAGGGGCATCTCTCAGGAATGCTTTAGTGTGGTATCCCTGCCTGATAAGGGGCTGGGCTAGATGATCCTTAAGGTCCCTTCCATCCCTATAGTTCTATGTTAATGTGTTGGGTGAGGAATCAGGCAGAAGTTGAGGGTCAAAGACAGAGAGGGAGAAAACACACTTTCACTGAAAGAAAGAAGGAATTAAGGGAAATGAGGGCAGGAAGAAAGGAACAGAAGAAAGGAGTGGGGGAGGAAGAAAGGAGAGAGGGAAAAAAGAAAGGAAGGAAGGGAGGAGGAAAGAAAGGAGGAAGAAGAGAGAGAAGGAAGAAAGAAGAAAGACAAAGGAAGGAAGGGAGAAGAAAGGAGGGAAGG